GGGGGGGGCGGGAGCCGCTGGAGAGGCGCGATCTCGGCGTTCGGGAGGGGGACACTCAGTTGGCTTAGAGGGGACCTTCACAAACCGGGGAAATGGAGAGAGACCCAGCTAGTCCCCGGCACACAAGGACTGTGGCGCACGAAAACCAGTGCTGATCTCAACAAGCAGCAGCGGCTCCCACACGTCAAGCCAACCGACCCCGGCGGCGGAGGCCACACCCCCGGGCGGGGGCGTGACTGCCAGGGGGCGGGACCACGCGCAGCTCTCGCGAGCATTAGGGAAGAACGGAGGGATCGGAAAATGGCGCCCAGCGGGCAAGGGTCTCCTACGAGCCAGGTGCTCTTGGCTGCGGCCCTGCTCCTCGCTCTGGGCGTGGAAAGGGCTCTGGCGCTACCTGAGGTACAGAAGCAAATTGGAGGTCGGGCTGAAGTAGGATTGCCTGTGTGTCGCGCTCGCCCGCCCGCGGCTCTCCCCTACCCTAGCCGGCCCCAACTCGGATTTTGTCCTCGAAGCTTCGGAACCCCAGCCCCAGCTGTACCCAAGCCGGGCCCTGCCCCTGAATACTCACGTAGCGCAAGCCTCTGGCGCCCAGCTCTGCTGACTTTCAGAGCCGTTTGGAATTTAACCTTTGAGTAAATTCAAGTCGTTCTTTTTACGAACGAGTCGGCCGGCTCTTCTGCATGCTCTGCACGCACTAATGCTGTACATCGTGCGGTGGTAGGACCGTACTTTGTGTAACGCTTGATGAGTTCGGTGTACCTGCAGTTCTTTGGCGCCCGCCCAAACCCGGGCTGTGTGATTAAGAAGTCCCTGAAGAGAGCACATAGTAAATACGTTCGAATAGTAAAGACGAAGACCTTCCCTGGGCGAGATCTAGTACAGAAAACCTGCTCTAGGGAAACAAATGCCACCTCCTACTTTAACCTGACAGACGAGGACACTAGACAGCTCTTCCCTGGGTTAGAGGAATCCCAGAGAGGTTTACTGGCGGTTAACTCTTGATCCCTCTGTGTGTTTTTCTCGGCCTTTCTTTCTGAAGTCCTAATAAAGGTTTCTTTCTCTTCTGCAGATATGCACTCAGTGTCCAGGGAGTGTGCACAATTTGTCAAAAGTGGACCTTTATTGTAAGCATACACCAGACCTAATGCTGGACGCTCGCTGCTGCCTGAATCAGAAGGGCACCATCTTGGGGTGAGGGAGGAGAAGACAACCTGGATGCTGGAAAAGAATGTACAAGGCTTGCCTGATTGGCCTTTGGGATAAATATTGGTTCCAGTTTTGGAGGCATCTAAACTGTGATTCTCAAACTTTTAAATTTGTTTTAGAAATTTTGGCTAAGTAAACAACCCTGTGTTCTCTCTACATGGAACTGCATAAAAGTCCATATTTCCATTTGTGTTTTAAGAATTATTTTATTTTATTTATTATTATCTCTTCAAATTTGACCAGAGAAAGACAGGGAAAGTGAGAAAGCGAACCCCCAGGTCCAAGACTCAAACCGCAGTTGGCCATCTAGGAGTCCAGTACCTTAATCACCACGCCACTTGACTGCCCTTTTTCTTTTTTTAAGGGTTTTTAAATTTTTTTTAACAAAAATTTTTTAGAGAGATTTTTACTATAGGGCATGTGTGCTCAGTGGAGAGACAGTACGTAAGAAATCATCCCCCAGGGAAATGGCCATGCCACAATCCCTTCATTCTTTCAGGATTTGGGGCATATATGCACACGCACTCAGTATGAGTTTCCAGCCACTGAGGCCAGGACTCGATGTGGCCATGTGGGAATTGACGTAACCATTAGGCCATCTGCCGATCCCCAATTTGTGCTTTTTTTTTTTGCACAGGTTTTTGGTACAGAGTGAGTATGCTCACCAGAAAGAGAGGCAGAAAGCAAGAAATCACCCCCTATGGGGGAAGGCCACGCGGCAATTCCTTCTCCGTTCTCCCCATGGGATCCTGGGCACACATGCACACACACACCCAGCATGAGTTTAAGCTACTGGGTCCAGAACTCGAACCCCGGTCAACTACATAGGAATCCAGCGACATAGCCATTACTCCAACTGCTGGTCCCCTTTTGTGCCTTTTTTTTTTTTTCTTTTGAGAGGTTTTTGCTATAGAGCGTGTGCGCTCACCAGACAGAGACATAGAGACATAGAGACAGAGAGCGAGAAATCACCCCCCAGGGGGCATGGCCATGCCGCAGTCCCTTCTCCATTCTCCTCTCGGGATCTTGGGCACGCACGCACATGCGCCCGGTGTGAGTTTAAGCCACCAGGTCCGGGACTCAAACCGCGGTCGACTACGTGGGAGTCCAGCAACATAGCCATTATGCTAACTGCTGGTCCCCCCTTTTTGTGCTTTTTAAAGACTGATGGCTTTGTTTTAAAAACAATTTTGTTATGTTTATTATCACGTCTTTGGACTATTTACCATGTGCCTCCATGGAATCCTACTCCTCTCAATGCTCCAAGAACCTGTGCTAATACAGCTTTCCTGACATATTCCTATTTACCTTCAGGGAAAGATCCTATGCCTGTCCCCTTATGAAGGTTAGTCCTTGAAATTTACTCCTTGACTTAGCTGCTTTTCCCCTTTTCACTCTTTTGAGGATCCACTTATTTTACATCTTTGACTCTAACCAGCATGTGTCTCCCAAAATTAAATCCCTTGTAGTGTCGTTTAACCTCTCCAAGCTTCTGGAATATGTGGATGCCTCTAGGTTTCTATTAAACATTTTGTCCTGAGTGATTCCTCACTTCAAACTCAAAATGTCATTTTTTATTTCCATTTTCTTTTCCCTAGTCTACATGCATAAACTCTATATTAAACTTTCCAAAAGCCAAAGTTTTGTTTTTACTTTTTCTCACTCTCTTGCTTTAATACTATAAGTTTCAGTTGCCTACAGAATAAAACTGAAGGGTCCAACAGATGGCATAGCATGTATGTCACTGGACTCCCATATGGCTGGCCATAGTTCTAGTCCCTGACCCAGCAGTTGGAAACTCACATCAGGTGCGCGTGTGTACCTGCCTAAAATCCTCAGTGGAAACTGGAGGAGAAGGGATTACGGCACAGTCATCCCCCTGGGGGGTGATTTCTCACTTGCTGTGGGAACATATGTGCCCTAAGGCAAAAACCTCTCTAAAAGAATAAAACTCAAACCATGCACAGAGTAGTCCCAACCTACTTTACCAACTTCATTTTCAATGGACCACTCAAATCCTCCATAAAGATCTGGCTGCAGCCAGATTTGCCCACCCCCACAAAGCATTCCTCCTTTGTTTCAGGCCTCTCCTCATACTTGAAATTGCCTTCCCTGACCATATTAGGACATGTCCATCTTCAATTCCAACGTCTTTCGTGAATTTTGCCTACCAGTAAATCCCAGAGTAATGCTTTTTTTCTTTTTGAACTTTCTGTAATCCTTGGTGTCTCTAGCATTCTATTAATAATTTATTTATATATTGCCCTGTGTTTCTTTCATATTACAATTGAATTGTTTTTACTTTGGTGTTGGTCTTGTGTTCTGCAAAGCTATAAGCTAATTGAAAGCTAAGGTACTGAGTAATGTATTTTTTTTAAGAATTATTTATTTATTATCATTATTTTTGACAGAGACAGAGACCAACCCGAGAGGTCCAGGACTCAAACCGCAATCGGCCATGTGGGAATCCAGTGCCCTTAGCCACCATGCCACCTGCCAGCCCCAAGTTATATATTTTTTATATTCTGTTAATTTTTACAGTTGTAGGCACTCAGTAAATATATGTAGAATAAGGGAATGGACAGTGATAGATATTGAAAAAATAATCTGTCATAGTCCTTTAGGTCTAGGAGTTTACAACCAGTCTGTGCTAGAAGATGCACTTGGGAGGCCAGCAGGTGGCGTAGTGGTTAAGACCCTGGACTTTCAATAGTCAACCGCGGTTCAATTCGTGGACCCAACAGTTTGAAACTCACACTGGGTGCGTGTGCATGCGTGCACAAGATCCCAAGAGGAGAATGGAAGAGATGGAACTGCAGTGTGGTCATCCTCCCTGAGGGGATGGTTTCTCACTATCTCTGTGTGTCTCTGGTGAGTGCACATACCTTATAGCAAAATCTCTCTAAAAAAATAAAGAGAAATAAATAAAATGCACTTGGGGAAATTTTCATTTATGTGACTTGCCTTTTTTGTTTTAATTTAAAGTCCCTGTGTGACACTCAGTTTTAGATTAAGTAACTACATGTAGTTAACGGTGACTGTGTTGGATAATGCCAAATTAAAATGTCTACCACAGCATCTATTGGATCATCTGAAAAGTCATGATGCACTTTTGCACAGAAAGATATATCATGACTTTGCTAACGACCAATAGTTTGTGGCTCTGAACACAACTGTTTTCTTTTTCCTTTTCCTTTCTTTCTTTTTTATTTTTTTAGATAGATTTTTTTTTTCTATAGGATACGTGTGCTTGCTGGAGAGACAGAGACAGAGAGACAGGAAGTGAGAAATCGACCCCGCCCAGGGGGGGTGGTCATGCTGCAATCCCTTCTCCTCCAGTCTCTTCTCTGGATTTTGGGCATGTATGCACACATGCCCAGCATGAATTTCAAGCCCCTGGGTTCCTGACACCAACCACAGTCAACTGCATGGAAGTCCAGCACCTCAACCACTATGCCACCTGCTGGTCCTTAATTTGACTGTTCTCAATTAATATTAGCTGGAAAGCGGTTTGCATAATCAAATACAAACCTTGCCAAGGGTAAAGACAAACACATAGTTATATTGATTACTTTATTTCCTCAGGCTGGATCTCCAGAACTGTTCTCTGAAGGACCTTGGTCCAAACTTCCCTCAGGCACACACCGCTATTATCATGTAAGTGATTAGGTGCTCTCTTGCCCAATGCTCTCCTGAGTTTGGTGAAGGTCCCATGACAAAGTCTTTGGGGGTGGATTCTTAAAAAGTTGGATGAATGCCTAAAGTTAGACAACTCAGGACGAAGACTGGATTGCTGATCCACTAAAACGGGTGAATGAAAAGAATGTGGTTCTCTGAGGGGAGCCCTGATGGTGTGTGCTTTGCAGAGACCTGCATGCAAATCCCCTCAAGGATGACTTGGCCAGCGCTTTCCGAGGTTTTACCCAGCTCCAGACTCTGTGAGTAAGGGTAATGCGATGGGAGGAAGAGAATCAGGGAGGTGCTGTGAGCTCCTAACTTTGGGCTGCATGTTATAACCACTTGTATTGTCTTCAGGGTACTGCCACAAGATGCCAGCTGTCCTGGAGGTATCAATGCTTGGAATACTGTCACCTCTTATATAGACAACCAGGTCTGCCAAGGACAGAAGAACCTTTGCAATAGCACTGGGGAGTCCGGTATGCTCGCCTAGATTTCTGGGAACCGCCTTCCCTCCCTTGCATTCTGTACTGTAGATCAGAAGGATAAGTTTGCTTAAGTACCTTTTGTTCAGTGTTCTGAGGCTCAAGGAAAGATCTTAGAATGTATTATTGCTATGTTCCGATTATCTGTAATCTTCTTTCCTCTACCTTTGGCCTAGAAATGATGGAGAGTCTAAGTTGAAGCAGATTTTTGAGAAACACGTAATGAGAATCCAATGATGTTCTCTGTTGCTCTCTGGCTCCCAGGATTGTGTCCTGAGAATGGATTGTGTGCACCCGATGGTCCAGGTTTCCTGCAGTGTGTGTGTGCTGAGGGCTTCCATGGGTACAAGTGCATGCGTGAGGTGAGGCACTCAGCCTTCTAATTGGGGATAAGTAAGGACGTCTCTGAAAGTCGAGCCACAGACTAGGAGCTGTTGCAGTTACCTAAAAGAGGAAAAGTAAGGCCAGCAGGTTGCATGAAAGTTAAGATGTGGGATTAAGATGCATGATCGACTGTGGTTCAAGTCTCAGGCCCTGTGACTTGAAAATAATGCAAGGCATGTTTGCATACGTGCCCAAAATCCCCAGAGGAGACCAGAGGAGAAGGGACCGCAGTATGGCCTTTCCCCTGGGGGAGAGATTTCTCACTTTCCCTGTCTCTGTCTGGACAGCACATGCACCTTATGGCAAAAATCAAGAAATAAAGAAAGAATTCTTTTTTTTTTTGGAGAGGTTTTTGCTATAGGGTGTGTGCGCTCGCCAGACAGAGAGAGAGCAAGAAATCACCCCCCAGGGGGGAATGGGCCACCGGGTCCGGGACTCGAACCGCAGTCAACTACGTGGGAGTCTAGAGACATAGCCATTATGCTAACTACTGGCCCAAGAAAGAATTCTAAAAAAGAAGAATTAGAATGAGTGAAAGTATAGACTTCCCTGGACAAGGGGATAGAATGAACTAGGCGTTGGCGATGTAGTCCTCTGTAACCAACCGCTGTCTGAGCTTTTTCTTGGTGTTATTCACAGGGCTCCTTCTCACTGCTTATGTTCTTCGGGATTCTGGGATCCACCACAGTATCCATCTCCGTTCTGCTTTGGGGGACGCAACGCCGGAAGGCCAAGACTTCATGAACCTCACAGGTGCTCCTGCTGGAGTAAGCCCGTCCTGATCGGAGCTCAGTTGGGGAGGCTGGCTTCCTCGTGGGTATCATTGGCCAGCCGACCCTCTTCAATGCTGAGGCTGCCACGGGACGGAAGATAGAAAATGGCACCACTGGGGTGTGGTGGACCCTCCGGGTCAGTTCTCATTTGTGCTGTTGACTAACCCGGACTAGTACTAGTTCCCATTTGTGCTGTTGACTATAATAAACACGTTTTTCTTCTTTTTTTTTTTTTTTCTTTGTTTGTTTGTTTTCGGGTAAATGCGCCCTGTCTTTGATTCTTTGGGATAGGGAGGGGCCGCTCTGAGCGAGTCTGGTCTTTTAGGGTTTCTCCCAGGTTTTGCAGGGGTGGAGACCATGCAGGCCCCGAGGCTCCCGCGGTCCCGCCCCTTGCGTGCCCAGCCCCACCCCCCCCCCCCGCCCGCCCCCCGCGCCGCGCCGGCCCCTGCCGCTGGCGAGCGGGCCCAGGCTCCTGCGCCTTCCACGCCCGCCTTCTCTCCAGCGCCCCGCGCCGTTAGCCACGTGGACCGACTCCAGCCCGCCGTCCTCACGTGGCTCCAGGGAGGCTAGCGGAGCTTCCCGCTTTTCTGTGCTCATCCCCTGCCTCTGAGCTGCGTCCCCATGGCGGCCCTGGTGTTGGAGGACGGGTCGGTCCTGCCGGGCCAGCCCTTTGGGGCGGCTGTGTCGACTGCCGGGGAAGTGGGTAAGCTAGCCGGGGCAGGCTGCTGACTTCATCTTATCCTCAGGTGCCCCCTCTGTCCCACCTGCCCTGCCCAGACCCCGCCGTTTACCCGCCGGCACACCCCTTCTTTTCCTTTCGGCGTCCGTGGCCTCAGTCCCTTTTATCCTGCACGACCAAGGACCTTCCCCCGGGCCATGCCCGTCTCGCGGGGCAGTGTTCCGAAGTGCCCAGCTTGAGCCCAGCCTTGCCCCTTTCTTGCAGTGTTTCAAACCGGCATGGTCGGCTACCCCGAGGCCCTCACTGATCCTTCCTACAAAGCGCAGATCTTAGTGCTGACATACCCCCTGGTCGGCAACTATGGCATCCCTCCGGATGAAGTGGATGAGTTCGGTCTCAGCAAGGTAGTCACACCCAGTGCTTTCTCGGTGACCTTTTCAAATCAAGCCGGTAGCTGTTCCCTGATGGCAAGTGCCGGCATCCTGGAGAGAACAGATGTGCGCAATAAGATACCAAGATGAATGTGGTGAAGCCAGAGTTGTTGGGTACCTGGAGGACAGGCCAGGGCACAGGAAAGAGCTAGCCCTATTGTTAGGGGTGCCCAGGCGCCAGGCACAGGGCGTGTGAAAGCCTGAATCAAGAAAAGGCAAGAGGTGTGAGGGACAGTGTTGTGAGTGCTGTGCTGTTTGCTAGGAATGCAGAAGTAGTGAAAAGGAATCCTGCGGAGAGGCTAGGTGCAGAGGGTGAGAGGGCCTTGGAGCCAAGGCAGATTGGGGCTTAATTTGGTGAGGAAGCGCTGAAGGTTTTCAGCAGCAGGGTCATGTGACTGGATCAGTGCTCTAGGATTATGTAAAGTAGTGGGGAGGGTCAGGCCTTTCCAGTTTACCCAGAAACCAGTGACATTGGTTATCATCCTCAGTGACATTGATTAACAGCTTCTTGGCCTTGCAGCATTTTCTCCTTTTCAGTATTAGTCTTACCTCCAGGTAAGAAAGTTTAGATTCCTCCTACAGTGAGGTTTCCCCTATTTCTTCTTTGGAATTTGGAAACTAGATTGCCCTTTGAGAGTTCAAGTAATTAAAAAAAAAAAAGTAGTTAAGATAATAGGCAGCCACCCTAGCCTAGAGGCAGTATTCCTCCCAACCTCCTTGGTCCTGCCTTTCCGTGGTTTTGTTTGTTTGTTTGTTTGTTTTTAATTTTGCCCGCGAGGAATAGTTACCCAGAATCCCACATAAGCGCACGTACCTGGCCCATTTTTCAGGCCACTGAGTTGGCCATGTGGGATCCAACTGCCTTGACCACCGTGCCACCAGCCTGCCCCTGAGCCTTTCATTCTTTTTTTTTGGAGAGGTTTTTGCTATAGGGCATGTGCGCTCGCCAGACAGACAGAGAGAGACATAGAGATAGGAAGCGAGAAATCACCCCCCAGGGGGGACGGTCACGCCGCAATCCCTTCTCCTCCATTCTCCTCTCGGGATCTTGGGCACGCATGCACATGCCCCCGGTGTGGGTTTTAAGCCACCAGGTCCAGGACACGAACTGCGGTCGGCTAAATGGGATTCCAGCACCATAGCCATTACGCTAACTGCTGGTCCCGAGCCTTTAATTCTTAAGTGGCCTTTCCGGTCACCCTGACACTAGGGAGAGGAACTCTGGAAAGGAGACACACTTATTCCTAAGAAAAGACCATTCTCAATTACAAACCTATAAATACACTGTGTTCTAGTTTATAACACACAATTTAGTGAATTCGATTAACATGTCAATCATGAGATTTGGCAACTCAAAATTGAGTTTATCACACTGCAACATTGGGCTGGGTACTTAGTACACTACTTAAGTGGTGTTGATGCCTTAGGAGCCAGATCCCACATGGCCGACTGTGGTGCAAATTCCAGCCCCTCTGGCTTGAAAAACATGTATTATCTATTGCATAACAAATTTCTGTTTTCTTTAGTAATAATCCCTTGTCCTCCATTTTTCCAAATTGTCAGGATTTGGGACACACACGCCTGGCATGTTATCCAAGCCACTGGAGCCAGGGTGCAAACTGGGCGGCCAGCTGTGTGGGATCCAGCTGCCTTAACCACTACTCCACCAGCTATTATTTTCAGTTACCCGTCAGGCACCCCTGCCGGTGTGTTCAGTGCCCCGTGTAGGGGTCAGCATCGTCGGTAAAGAGCTATCTGTGCGAAAGCACGAAGTGCTTGGTATAGCACAGGAATGACAGCGTGGCTGCCTCTGGAGCCTGTGGCCATGTGGTGGGAAATGGTATCACAGGGCCTACTCGGCCTTGGGTTCCTCATGGTCTCCTTCTGTCAACAGTGGTTTGAATCCTCGAGGATCCATGTGGCAGGACTTGTGGTGGGAGAGAGTTGCCCCACGCCCAGCCACTGGAATGCCACCCGCACCCTGCACGAGTGGCTGCAGCAGCATAACATCCCCGGTCTACAAGGTATGCTGGCCAGCACAGGGATGTCCAGAACGGGAAGCATCCAGGTTTCTCTGGTCCATTGGGACCTGAGTCAAAGGTTGAGTGAGATAGCTCAAGAGGAAGGACTTGAGCTATTGTTTAGATGGAAAACTTCCAACGTGGAGAGGAAAGAGTACTAGAACAACGACCTCTCAGCTTCCACAGTCAGCTCAGGGCTAGTCTTTCTTCATCGTCAACATGACCACCCATAGATTACTTTGAAGAAAATCTCTCGTGTGTTGTTTCATCCACACATAGTTCTGTAGCCATCAAACAAAGGATTTAAAAAAAAAAAACAAAAAAAACTTGACTCCAATAACATTATACCTTTAAAATAACAATTCTGTAATACCATCAAATATCCAGTTTAAAATTTCCCTAATTACCTAAATTTTTTTTTCACTTATTTGAATCTGGTTCTCAGTAAGCTTCATATGTTACATTTGGTTAATAATGTGTCCTAAAAGTAATCTATTTGATGAAGAGTCATTTATCTCATGTCTGCATTTTGTTGTATTCCTATATTGCCATTCCACATGTTCTGTTCTTTCCTTTTTTTTAAAGAATTATTTTATTTTACTTTATTATTATTCCTTTTTTTTTTTTTAAGAGGTTTTCGCTATAGGGCGTGTGCACTCACCAGACAGACAGAAAGAGACAGAGAGACAAAAAGTAAGAAATCACCCCCCAGGGGGGATGGTCACACCGCAATCCCTTCTCCTCCATTCTCCTCTCGGGATCTTGGGCACGCACGCACACGCACCCGGCGTGAGTTTAAGCCACCCGGTCTGGGACGCGAACCGCGGTCGACTACATGGGAATCCAGCGACATAGCCATTACGCTAACTGCTGGTTCCCATTTATTATTATTCTTCAATTTGGCCAAAGAGAGGGAGAGTAAGAAGGGCAAGCTGCAAAGTCCAGGACTCAAACCACAGTCGGCCATGTGGGAATCCAGCACCTTAACCACCACACCACCTGCTGGCCCCTCAGCATGTTCTTTTGTCCCTTGATATTTTCTGTAAATGGATAGATCTAAAGTTATGATTCAATTTAGATGTGAAATTTTGGGTAAGAATATTTTTTTTTAGTTTGCCAGAGGGCATGTGCCTTGCCAAAGAGAGAGGAAGAAAAATCACCTCCCGTGGGGAATAATCACACCACGGTGCCCTCGTCTCTCTCTCATCTTTCATGATTTTACCCACATGTGCACATGCACCTGGCGGGTTTTTCAAGCCTCCAGATCCAGAACTCAAACCATGCAGTTGGCCATTTGCGATCCAGCTCCCTTTAACCACCAGGCCACGAGCTGGCCCTTTCAGGAATACTGTCTAGTGGACCAGCAGATGTGGTGGTACAGGCGCTGGATCCCACATGGCCAACTCAGTGATCAGATTCCTGGACTTAGCAGCTTGAAAAACACGCCAGGCACATGTCCATGTGTGCCCAAAATCCCGAGAGGAGAATGGAAGAGAAAGGATTTCGGTGTGGCCATCCCCCCTTGGGGAGTGATTTCTCACTTTCTCTTTCTCTCTCTGGCAAGCTCACATACCCTGTAGCAAACTTTAAAAAAAAACAACAACCAAAAAACCGTGTTTGGTAACATACTTCCGTCCAGGATTTTAATGCCCATAGAACAGCTGTGTGACTCAAGGTCCTGGAAGGGAAGTGTTTCTGGAAGCCTAACTCAGAAATGACTGAGTCGGACGAGGATGATCTTTAAGGCTGTGCTACTTTGACAGGCGTGGACACTCGGGAGCTTACTAAGAAGTTACGGGAGCAAGGGTCTCTGCTGGGGAAGCTGGTCCAGAAAGGGACAGAGCCTTCAACCCTGCCATTCTTGGACCCCAATGCCCGCCCCCTGGTGCCAGAGGTCTCTATTAAGGTACAGAGGTGGAGTGGGAGAGTGCTCCCAGCTGTTGTATTCTCGTTGTTACATTCTGCCCACAGCCAGGGTGAGCACTGGAGGGAGGGTCCTGAGAGGTCTCGGACGGGGTTGATACAGGCGTGTTTGCTGCCCATGGTCACAGCGGCCAGCTGTTGCCCTTTTCTATTCCTCAGACTCCCCAGGTATTCAATGCAGGGGGTGCCCCTCGGATCCTTGCTTTGGACTGTGGCCTCAAGTATAACCAGATCCGATGCCTCTGCCAGCGTGGAGCCGAGGTCACTGTGGTACCCTGGGACCACGCCTTAGACAGCCAGGGTGAGTAGCTGGGGCCTGTCCCTTGGCCGGTCTTTAAAAGCCACGAGTTACAGAGAAGAAGAGGAGACCGGGGCTTCTGTAATGGTGAAGGCTTCACGTGTTTCTCTCTTGGTTGAAATACTGCTTTTGACGCCATCTTTTCTGCCTACTGCAGAGTATGAGGGTCTCTTCCTAAGTAATGGCCCTGGTGACCCTGCCTCCTATCCCAGCGTGGTGTCCACGTTGAGCCGTGTCTTATCTGAGCCTAATCCCCGACCTGTCTTCGGAATATGCCTGGGACACCAGCTGTTGGCTTTAGCCATCGGAGCCAAGACTTACAAGATGAGGTGAGACTTGGGGAGAGGAGGGGGCCCACACTGTGGCAGGAGGTGGGGCGGGACTAGGAAGAGTTGGTGTTTAGTATTTATGATAAAGGAGCAGGACCAGGGAGAGTAGTGATATCCGCAAGCCTGGGTTTGGTAAACAGTGAAGAAAGGGTGAGAGGAGCCTATGGCCCACTGGGCATGCTTTTGCTTCCAGATACGGGAACCGAGGCCATAACCAGCCCTGCTTGCTGGTGGGCTCGGGGCGCTGCTTTCTGACATCCCAGAACCATGGGTTTGCTGTAGAAACGGACTCCCTGCCAGCGGGCTGGGCTCCTCTCTTTACCAACGCCAACGATCGTTCCAATGAAGGCATTGTACACAACAGCCTGCCCTTCTTCAGGTGAGCCTGGGTGATGCGGGCAGAGTAGGTGGGGATGGCGGCCTTAACGCCCTGAGGGCCTGGAAAGTCGAGTAAAGTATGTGTGACCAACGGTGACCTTGAGCTCTTTGTCCTCCCTGCCTCTGGGCTGCGGTGCAGGCACCGGCAGTGATGGGTTTCCTGGTGTGATCTCCTTGACAGTGTCCAGTTTCACCCAGAGCACCAGGCTGGCCCTTCAGATATGGAACTGCTTTTTGATGTCTTTCTGGAAACTGTGAAAGAGGCCACTGCTGGGAACCCTGGGGGGCAGACAGGTAAGCCCCTGAGTAAAACTTAGGTTGTGGACCTAAGAATCGGTCTTCCTGGCTGGCTCCAGGATGGGGTGGACAAGCTCCAGGAAGCTCATGTGTTTGAGAGGTTCAGAGATGGGGTGGAAGGTAACCAGGCCAGCATGTTTATGCTGCTTCTATTCAGAGAGACGCCAGAGTTACAAGTCCTGGGTTCTCGTTTTTTCCTCTGCCACTCATAAGATGCACGATTTGCTCAGGACTCAGTTCTGGAAGTGAGGAGGTTAATCTAGGTGATCGCCACAGTCCACTCGGCTCTAACGTTGGATGACTTTCTTTGTCTGCAGTTCGTGAACGGCTGACCAAGCGCCTCTGCCCCCCTGGCGTTCTCACCCCAGGCTCTGGGCTCCCTCCACCAAGAAAGGTTCTGATCCTGGGCTCCGGGGGGCTCTCCATCGGCCAGGCTGGAGAATTTGACTACTCGGGCTCTCAGGTAAGGCCTGTCCATCCCCACCCTCACATGCACCCCTGAGGAATGCTTAGTCTTCAGGAGAAGGGCCGAGGTGTGAACAGTGGCTGTGTGAAGGAAGTGAGCTGGGAGATGTAGAGACTATCCAGAAGGATGAGGTGTTCAGGAATAGAAACTCAGAGTGCAGGGAGCGAACAAGGGGGAGAGATGTTGGTCGAAGACTGCGATCTCGCTTCTGCAGTGGAGGTTGATGGGCTCTTGTCCGTACAGGCGATTAAGGCCCTGAAGGAGGAGAACATCCAGACGCTACTGATCAACCCCAACATTGCCACAGTGCAGACCTCTCAGGGACTGGCCGACAAGGTCTATTTCCTCCCCATAACGCCTCACTACGTAACCCAGGTGCGACAGGGTTATACCTAAGGCTGGGCAGAGGGAGGCAGTGGTCATTCGGGTCCCTAAAATTGATCCACTCTCTACCCTGGAGGTCTTATGCCTGTGGCTTGTCTCTCCTACCACAGGTGATACGTAACGAGCGTCCAGATGGTGTGTTACTGACTTTTGGGGGCCAGACGGCCCTAAACTGTGGTGTGGAACTGACCAAGGCGGGAGTGCTGGCTCAGTATGGGGTCCGGGTCCTGGGCACCCCTGTGGAGACCATTGAGCTGACCGAAGATCGACGTGCTTTTGCTGCTCGAATGGCGGAGATCGGAGAGCATGTGGCCCCGAGTGAGGCGGCGCATTCCCTTGAGCAGGTGCGAGTGGGGGGTCTGATAAGAGAACAGGGCTGTTTCCTTTACGTCATTTTCTCCCGGCCCTGGCTCCCACTGGGCAGCCCGCAATGACCTGTTTGTCTCTTCCCCCCGGTGCAGGCCCAGGCAGCTGCCGAGCGACTGGGGTACCCCGTGCTGGTCCGCGCGGCCTTTGCCCTGGGTGGCCTAGGCTCCGGGTTCGCCTCCAACAGGGAGGAGCTGTCTGCCCTCGTTGCACCAGCCTTTGCACATACCAGCCAAGTGCTGGTGGACAAGTCTCTGAAAGGATGGAAGGAGATTGAGTACGAGGTGGTGAGAGACGCCTACGGCAACTGCGTCACGGTGAGTGCTGGAAGCGGGTGTCATGGCAGAGCGTAGCCCAGGGCTGAGGTATGGGAGGGTTCTGTGTTCCTCAGACCCAGGGTAGATGCAGCCCAGAGTTAACGGCCCCGGGATGCACCCTTTCCTAACTCCCTTCACCAGTGGCCTCCATGGCATGCTCCCTTCCCAGGTGTGCAATATGGAGAACTTGGACCCGCTGGGCATCCACACTGGCGAGTCCATCGTGGTGGCTCCAAGTCAGACGCTGAATGACAGGGAGTACCAGCTGCTGCGACAGACAGCCATCAAGGTGACCCAGCACCTGGGGATCATCGGGGAATGCAACGTGCAGTATGCCCTGAACCCCGAGTCTGAGCAGGTGAGGTTCTACGTGCTGTTGCTGACATGCTGGCTGTGACCGCTTCCTCCTGTAATTCTCGGCCCTCTAGGCTAAGAGGTCCTTTGTCCCTGTCGCCCCTGGAGAAGAGCCAGAGTCATCTCTTCTTGGGCCTTGGGAGGGCCGTTTTGCTCTCTGCCTTTATGGGGACAGGGCTTGTTTTCTCTCCTTTCTGAGATCCTTCCTAGAAAGGAGCTTCAAGGTCTGGTGACTCCTTTTCTGTTCCCCTTTAGTATTACATCATCGAAGTGAACGCCAGGCTCTCTCGCAGCTCCGCCCTGGCCAGTAAGGCCACAGGCTATCCACTGGCCTACGTGGCAGCCAAACTAGCTTTGGGCATCCCCCTGCCTGAGCTCAGGTACAAGGGTTGGGAGAAGTCTCCCTGGGGAGAGGGTGGGAAGCTGAAGAAGACGTCCTCGGGACAGGGCATATGAGAGATGTTGGATCTGTGGGGGTGGAGCAGGCTACCTGCAAGCTCACCCTTGATACCTCCCCCCTCTGTGTCCTGGCACCTCCGCCTGCCGGGTCCCAGGAACTCTGTGACAGGAGGTACGGCAGCCTTTGAACCCAGCCTGGATTATTGCGTGGTGAAGATCCCTCGCTGGGACCTCAGCAAGTTCCTGCGTGTCAGCACGAAGATCGGAAGCTGCATGAAGAGCGTTGGTGAGAGTCACCCCAGGTTACCCTGGCGGGTCCCACCAAGAGTCCAGAATGTCGAGTGGCCTGGCATGGCCCTTCAGCTCCTGTAATAGTGACTGCTTGCAAACATGGTTTTTCAAAGATAATAGGGACGTTTCAAACTAAGATAGGGGTCCCCACTTGGAGGGGGTGGGAGTCCAAGCCATCTGGTAAATCTCTGTTGGAATAGAGTCTCTGGAATGGGGTGCTGGCCAGCAGACGGTCTCACCTCTTGTACTTTCCAAATGAATAAACTGAGGTGCCCAGAGAAGGAAAGCGACTTGACTGAGGTCCCGGCAGTGAGTCGTGGGGCAAGGCCGAGAGCTGGGCTTCTTCCTAATTGGGGGTCCTCTGTTCCCCTACTCTGCCTGTGCTCTGTGAGTCCAGTTCCGTGAAACCCTGCCCACGACACGCGTCCCGTGGCGTTTTGTGTGCTGTGTTCGCTTAACTACTAGCGTTTCAAGGAAGCAATTACTGCTGTTTTCCTCTGAACCATTCCAGATCCAGGGGAGCACAGTGGCTGGCACTCAGCACGTGTCCTCTGGCACTTTCTGCCATGGTCACTAAATGAGATGCTTTTTAACATGATGTTCGGATCAGAGCAGGATATCAAGGCCTTTTTCAGAACAAGGAAGTCTGTTAGTGACCAGTGTACTGGGTGGAACGGTCATCTACCGAGCAGCATCAGAGTGGGTTGGGATCAGGTTCTTCATGGGGTCTGTTTAGTGGCCTTGGGCTGACCTCTAAAACACTTCAACCCAAACAAGCAATGTGTATGTACCAAGCTTAATGCATAGGATGCTTCGTGGCACTCCAGCGAACAGCACAGAGCGGCCGTAGCCTTTAAACATGTAAGTCTAAGCTCAGAGAGTATTCCAGAATTTTTAGAAATCCTTCCAGACTGCCAAGTTGTTCCTTCTGGAGATGAGTTTCTGTTAATCGAAAATAATAATAAACATGAGAATGAAGCCATAATTAAACTGTGACTAAAAGAACTGGATTGAAAAGAGGACAAAGATTAATTCCTAGATGAGACATTTTAATATTTTACATCTATTCAAGAGTTTGTGGAATATGGTCTTTGGGGACTTTTTGTAGCTTTGTAACTTTTTTTGGGGGGGGTGGATTTTTGCTATAGGACGCATACACTCGCCAGAGAGACAGAAAGCGAGAAATCACCCGCCTCCCCTCCCACTCCCCGCCCCCCCCCCGCAATCCCTTTTTCTCCATTCTCCTCTCGGGATCTTGGGCACACATGCACATGCGCCTAGCGTGAGTTTAAGCCACCGGGTCCAGGACTCGAACCACGGTCGACTGCATGGGAGTTCAGTGACATAGCCATTATGCCAACTGCTGGTCCCACTTTGTAACTTTTAGTATCTGAATCATCGAAAAATGAGAAAGATAGCTTAACCAAAGAATGATAATCACCTATAATCTTGTCTTACAGAAATGGATTAATTTGGGTTTATGTATAATTCCAGACATTTTCTAAGCATACATGTATGAGTGCATTCATTTTCTCTTTTAACAAGTCTCAGCTTAAAAGGTTTTTTAATATAACCACAGTACAAAGGAATAGAACAAAATCTCATAATTCTCTTCCTGTAACAATAAGACTATAAGCATCTTAGTGTTTAAAAAAAAATTGGGGGGAACCAGGAGATGGCATAATGGCTATGTTGCTGGACTCCCATGTAGTCAAGTCGTTCAAGTTCTGGACCCAGTGGTTTAAACTCATGTCAGGCGCCTGTGTGCACGTGCCCAAGATCCCAAGAGGAGGGTAGAAGTGAAGGGATTGCAGCGTGGCCATCCCCCCGGGATGATTTCTTGCTTTCTGGCTCTTTGTCTTTCTGGCAAGCATATGCTCCCTATAGCCAAAAAATTTTTTTTTAATTTTTAAGGAGATTGTTTTATTCAACTCTATCTATTTATTTCAATTTGACCAGAGAGGAACAGTGTGAGAGAGAGAAAGGAAAAGTGAGAAAGCAAGCCACCAGGTCAGGAATTCTAACTGTGGTCAGCCATGTGGGAGTCCAACACCCCTAACCACCGTGCCACCTGCCAGCCCCAGTGTTTAAAAATTTTTAAAGAGGGACCAGCAGTTAGCGTAATGGCTATGTCGCTGGACTCCCTCGTAGTTGACTGTGGTTCGAGTCCCGGACCCGGTGGCTTAAACTCACGCTCTCTCCTGGGCGAGCCCCCGGCCCCTAAAGCAAAAAAAAAAAAAAAAAACAACTCTCCCAAAAAAAAGAAAAAAAATTTTTTAAAGAATCAATTTTAAAGGGGACCAGCAGTTATCGTAATGGCTATGTCACTGGACTCCCACATAGTCCTGGACCCGGTGGCTTAAAGCTCACGCCGGGCGCATGTGCGTGCGTGCCCAAGATCCTGAGAGGAGAACGGAGAAGAAGGGATTGTGGTGTGACTATCCCCTCTGGGGGGTGATTTCTTGCTTTCTGTCTCTATGTCTCTGTCTGTCTGGCGAGCGCACGCGCCCTATAGCGAAAACCTCTCAGAAAAAAAAAAATCAATTTTAAAGAAATGGCAGGTGATACAGTGGTTAGGGGCACTGGACTCCCATATGGTCAATGTGGTTCAAGTCCCAAACCTGGTAGCTTGCTTTCTCACTTGCCCCCTCTCTCTCACTCTCTGGTCAAATCTAAATAAATAAGTAATTACTTAATTAAAAAATAATAATTAAAAATTGAAAAATAATGATTAGTGAAAAGCACTTGAAGCCCCTAGGATAGATGGTCGGGGGAAACGAGTAAACCTTTACAGAAAAGGAAATCAGTAAGCAGACCTGGAAAGAAAAGGTTTATTTCCTTTAGTAAATAGAAATTATTAGTGACTAGAAAGCTATCAGTACTTAAAATGAGATACTGTTTTTGCTTACTAGCAAAAATGACTATACCTGCTTCTCAAAAGACTGGCTAAATTATGCTTTGTGTGTAAAGTATACACTATAAAGAGGTTATACTTACCAAGGCCCATAACTGTCTTATCTGTTGCTGATGCTTTTGGAAATTTAGCCTAAGCAGAAAATCCAAAACAAAGAAAACATCACATCATACTTAAAATGATCAACACTTAAAAAAGCAAAACATCCTTCAGTAAATTGGTTAAGCTATGGTAAATAGTACATGAATTTTAAATAATACTTTTATTATTTTTTTTAATTTCATCAGAGAGGGACAGAGTGAGAGAGAGAGAGGGAAATTGGGAAAGCAAGCCATTAGGTCTGGAACTTGAACCGCAGTCGGCCATGTCGAAGTCTAGCGCCCTTAACCTCCAAGCCACCTGCCAACCCCAGCACTTTTAAAAATAATTAGAAATGATTGGTTCAGGGCCAGCAAGTGGTATGATGGTTAAAGCACTGAACTCCCACATGATAGGCTGCAGTTCATGTCCCAGACCTGGTGGCTTGCTCCCTTTCCCTTTCACACTTTGTCTTTCCTGGTCAAATTAAAAAATAATGATAATAAATAAAATAAAAAATTTTTGGAGAGGTTTTTGCTATAGGGCACATGCGCTCGCCAGAAAGACAGACAGATACAGATGCAGGAAGCGAGAAGTCACCCCCCGGGGGGGATGGCCACACTGCGATCCCTTCCCCTCATGATCTTGGTCACACATGCACACGCACATGCACCCAGCTTGAGTTTAAGCCACTGGGTCCGGGACTTGAACCGCAGTCAACTATATGCAAGTCCAGCAACATAGCTGTTACGCCAATTGCCGGTCCCAAATAAAACAAATCTTAAAAAAAAAAAAAAAAAGAAAGAAAAAGAAATGATTGGCTCTTGATAGATTCAGAATGAGGTCATCCTGTTGGTCAAATGTTTTAAAATACTAAAAGATGGGACAGATTTCAGATAGCGTCATCACAGTGTGAGTAGAGCAAGCCAGATTATTGGACAACCCTCAGTAGTTGGGGCCTGTGATAAATTGTAACGTTGCAATCTCTAAAAGTCCCTTTTAGAATAGTACTTTTCTGTTCACTGATAAACACAAAATCTGAACTTATCTATGAAAATGGGAAGGCAAAGTAAGTTCAAGATTTCTTAATGGTGGAATGCCATGAATCCTCCTACCACGGGACCGCCTTGAGAATCTCCCAGAGACGTGGCTGTAACCTGTAGGCGTTGTGGTCAGCCCCACCACATCCAGCAGCTCCCACTCAGTCCTTCCGTCCTGTTCTGCCAGGTGAGGTCATGGGCATTGGACGCTCGTTCGAGGAGGCCTTTCAGAAGGCCCTGCGCATGGTGGATGAGAACTGTGTAGGCTTTGACCACACCGTAAAACCAGTCAGCGATAAGGTAAGCAGCTCCTCTCCCCTAGAAGCACCCCTAAAATGGACCCTGTTTCTCTGCCTCAGGCCTTGAACCTGTTACTTACAGCACCACCGGCAGAATCATCGTTAGACATGGGCTATGTTTACACGGTGTTGAGAATTTTGAGATAATGTCTCATGTATCATCGTGTGAGAGTTTGTTGTTTTTTTTTTAATTACCGGAGGGTATGTATGCTGGCCAGAGAGAAGGAAACATCCCCCAAGTGGGGCATAGTCACGCTACAAACGTTTTCCCCCATTCCTCTACCCCATCAGGTTTGGAGCCCGGGTGTATATGCACCTGGCATGTTTTTCACACCTCCATGGCCAGCCAGGCTTTCTTCCTGGCCAGGTTTCGGTGATCACAGAGCCTGTGCCCTGGCATACAGCTCCCTTTCCTAGCACAATGGCAGCCACTTGTGTTCTTAGGCTTTTAAGAGTTGCTGACAGGAGATTTAGAGTGTTTTGTTCTATTGCTGTGGGGTTTGTGCGCTCACTGGAGACACACAGTGAGAAATCTCTCTAGCAGAGGCAGGTGGCCAAGCCACAGTCCCTTCTCCTCTATTCTCCTCCATTCTCCTCTTAGGATTTTGGGCACACATACGCATACACACAGCATGATGTTCAAGCCACTGGGTCCAGGACTGCAGTTGATCATGTGGGAGTCCAGTGCTGTAACCACTATACCACCTGCTGGCCCTAATTCAGAGTATTTTTGCTTAAAGGTTTGACCTCTGCGGCTGTGTAATTCTGTGTGCATCTGCCCTTTTCCCATCAGGAGTTGGAGACTCCCACGGATAAGCGAATCTTTGTGGTGGCAGCTGCCCTGTGGGCTGGCTACTCGGTGGAGCGTCTATATGAGCTCACGCGCATTGACCGCTGGTTCCTGCACCGAATGAAGCGCATCACGGCGCACACCCAGCTGCTGGAACAACATCGCGGACAGCCATTGCCCTCGGACCTGCTGCAGCAGGCCAAGCGCCTTGGCTTCTCAGACAAGCAGATTGCCCTCGCGGTGCTAAGGTCAGAGACAGTGGTGAGGGTTTGGGCTGAGAAATGTGGGGCAGAGAACCTTTGGATCAGTAAGAGGCCCTTGGAGAGACAGGGAGGTGGGGAGCTTTGGAGGTTTTTGACCTCTGTCCCTGGAAAAGTTTTCTCTCCTAACCCCTGCCCTGGCGTCTCACCCGTCTCTCGCAGTCAGTAACCCACTCCAAGGGCCTGTGTTTCTGACCCTTCATCTCCTTTAGCACGGAGCTGGCTGTTCGCAAGCTGCGTCAGGAACAGGGGATCTGCCCGGCAGTGAAACAGATAGACACAGTTGCAGCTGAGTGGCCAGCCCAGACAAACTACCTGTACCTGACGTACTGGGGCACCACCCACGACCTCAGCTTTCGAACACCTCACGTCCTGGTCCTCGGCTCTGGTGTCTACCGGATCGGCTCCAGCGTGGAGTTTGACTGGTGTGCCGTCGGCTGCATCCAGCAGCTCCGGAAGGTCTGAGTGTCCTTCACGCCAGCGTCTCTGCTCTTCTTTTTGGCTTCAGCAGCTGCCTGCCCTCCCGTACTCCTGGCCCTTGTCGGTTGCCATACCTCCCTTCTGTCATAGCGCTTTGGGTTGGGGGGGCCTTCTAGGCCATCTCTCCTGCCCCACTCCATGCATGCATGAGTCCCCACCCCTTCACTTTGCACCTGCTTTCCTCCCAAGGCAGGAGGCCTGTGCAGCTGCTTCACAGGAAGCTGGAGTTGGGGCTTGGGCTTTAGTTTCTCCATGCTCTTCCTCCCACCTGGCTGCTAAATCTGTTTCCCCCATCTCAGATGGGGTACAAGACCATCATGGTGAACTACAACCCAGAGACCGTCAGCACCGACTACGACATGTGCGACCGGCTCTACTTCGATGAGATCTCTTTTGAGGTGAGAGGGATGGGGGCTGGCTGGCTGGCTGCCCTGTGGTTCTTTGGAAGTAGGGGTGAGGGTGCTGAGCAAGACAGCTCTGATTGCTAACCACGTTTTGTTGCCCCTCTCTTTCTCCCCCTGCACTGCAGGTGGTGATGGACATCTATGAGCTAGAGAACCCTGAAGGCGTGATCCTGTCCATGGGCGGGCAGCTGCCCAACAACATGGCCATGGCTTTGCATCGCCAGCAGTGCCGGGTGCTGGGCACCTCCCCTGAAGCCATCGACTCGGCTGAGAACCGGTTCAAGTTCTCCCGGCTCCTGGACACCATTGGTATCAGCCAGCCTCAGTGGAGGGAGCTCAGTGACCTGGAGGTGGGCTAGGGCCTGGCGAGGGGCCTGGAGGCTGGATGCTGTCCATGGGTGTATGTGACCAGTCCGGCTAAGTGCCCTGCCTCCCTTAGTCTGCTCGCCAGTTCTGCCAGACTGTGGGGTACCCCTGCGTGGTGCGCCCCTCCTATGTGCTGAGTGGTGCAGCAATGAACGTGGCCTACACTGACGGGGACCTGGAGCGCTTCCTGAGCAGTGCAGCAGCCGTCTCCAAAGAGCACCCCGTGGTCATCTCCAAGTTCATCCAGGAGGCCAAGGTGGGAAGCTGCACAGGCGTCTCTGAGGGCAGCCCCAGCCCTGGAGGGACCTCCCTGGTCCTGTAGAATCGGTGGGCCGGTGGGCCGGAGGATGGGTGGTGTTGGGGCTGTTACAGGAAGGGAGCATCCTGGCACAAGTGGGACAGAAATGGCCTCTGCCCTCCGTCACCCCGCCGTGTCGCCCCACTAGGAGATTGATGTGGATGCCGTGGCCTGTGATGGTGTGGTGGCGGCCATTGCCATCTCGGAGCATGTGGAGAATGCAGGTGTGCATTCAGGCGATGCCACGCTGGTGACCCCCCCACAAGACATCACCCCCAAAACTTTGGAGCGAATAAAAGCCATTGTGCATGCCGTAGGCCAGGAGCTACAGGTCACAGGGCCCTTCAACCTGCAGCTCATTGCCAAGGTAATAAAGCTAAAGGAAGGGACCGAAAGGCCGCGACTCCCTCGCGTTCCGCTGGGCACAGTGCCAGTGAAGCCCTGCGCGGCCTCCTGCCCTCCTCTGAGAAGGCAGGAAATGTGGAAAGAAGGGTCCATAGCTAGAGCCCGCCGTGTTGTCGGTCTGTGGCGGGCGGTCACCTGGAGCCCTGCCTGGGTTGCTCACCCACAGGGTGAGGGGGGGAAAGGTCAAGGTGAAGGTCAGTGGAGTAGCACCAGCAAGCCCAGCGGGTGGAAGGCCTCACCAGTTCTTCTCTACTCTAGGACGACCAACTGAAAGTTATCGAATGCAACGTGCGTGTCTCTCGCTCCTTCCCCTTCGTCTCCAAGACACTAGGCGTGGACCTAGTAGCCTTGGCCACCCGGGTCATTATGGGGGAAGAGGTGGAACCTGTGGGGCTCATGACTGGCTCTGGAGTCGTGGGGGTGAAGGTAAGGAGTTCAAGGCCCCTGGGGTACCGTAGCAGCAGTGGCAGAGAGTTCACTTGGCACAGAGTTGTCGATCGACACGTGACTCTGCCGGTCGGTGCCAGACAGGGCCAGCCCACAGGGTAATATGATAGTCTCTGTCCCTTAGGAGCTTACCTTCCAGGAAAGCAAGAGAAGTTGGGCCTAAGAATAGCTTTGTTCCCGAACAATCTGTGATAAACCTGCATGATAGAGATTCTAGCAAATGCTCAAGTTTAGAGACAGGAGGTGCTTCAGAGGGGGCTGATCCGGAAGGGCTTGCGAGAAGGGGTGGTATTGGAAAGGAGCCTTGAAGGACAGCGAGTGTGTTGTGCAGAGCTTATTGGGAGGAGGCCCAAGGCCTGGGAATGGACTCAGCAGAAGCCGCAGGAGGGCCCAGAGTGTTTGAGAAGCAGCGGGGCACATGTCAGTATCTGCCAGGGAAGGCCAGCCTGCTATCCCACGGGACTGAGCCAAGTAGGCCATGTCTGCCCCTCCCACTCAGTCCCCTCATCTTCGTACTGTCCCGCAGGTGCCTCAGTTCTCCTTCTCCCGCTTGGCGGGCGCTGACGTGGTGTTGGGTGTGGAAATGACCAGCACCGGGGAGGTGGCCGGCTTTGGGGAGAGTCGTTGTGAGGCCTACCTCAAGGCCATGCTAAGCACTGGCTTTAAGATCCCCAAGAAGAATATCCTGCTGACCATCGGCAGCTACAAGGTACCAGAACCCGGGGCGTGCTGCCAGAGACTGGGCAGGCTGGATGGCCTGATGGCCTTGGCTCCTTGGGCTGGGCTGTACTTGAAATGAAGCAAGAGAAACACCCTCCTTGTCCTGCTTGGTTTCAGAACAAAAGTGAGCTGCTCCCGAGGGTGCGGCTGCTGGAGAGCCTGGGCTATCGACTCTACGCCAGCCTGGGCACAGCCGACTTCTACACCGCACACGGCGTCCAGGTACGGGCCCCCGCCGCTGCCCCCGCCCCCCGGGTGTCAGGACATTGAGCCAGAGAACGCTCACCCCCACCCTCCTTCATTACTACTGGTGTAGTAAGAGTGCAAGGGTGCTCCAAGAAGGTCATGGAGAAATGGAATTAATTTCAGTGCAAACATACTTTGAAATCCGTGTATAGCTTTTTCATAGTAAGCATTTTTTTTTTGAGAGGTTTTTGCTATAGGGCACGTGCGCTCGCCAGACAGACAGAGACAGACAGAGAGATAGAAAGCGAGAAATCACCCCCCAGGGGGGATGGCCACACTGCAATCCCTTCTCCATTCTCCTCTAGGGATCTTGGGCACGCACACACACGCACCTGGCGTGAGTTTAAGCCACCAGGTCCGGGATGCGAACCGCGGTTGACTATGTGGGAGTCCAGCGACATAGCCATTACGCTAACTACTGGTCCCCATAGTAAGCATTTTTCATAAACTTTTTGAAGACCTTGTCTTCAATTCCATGTACAACAGGTAAAATATATAGAAAAGCAGGACCAGCAGTTGGTGTAATGGCTATATTGCTTGTAGCCGACCGCAGTTCGAGTCCCGGACCCGGTGGCTTAAACTCATGCCAAGCGTGTGTGCATGCGTGCCCAAGATCCCGAGAGGAGAATGGAGGAGAAGGGATTGCAGCATGGCCATCACCCCAGGGGGTGATTTCTTGCTTTTTGTCTTTCTGTCTGTCTCTGTCTTTCTGGCGAGCGCACGCACCGTATAGCAAAAACTTCTCCAAAATATATGTGTGTGTGTGTGTGTGTACACACACAGAAAAGCAAGGAGAAAAAGAGTCCCTCAAAATCTTGCCACTGTTCCGTTCTGGAGTGATCCCCTCCAGGATTCGATCTGTCCATGTATGTGAGCTCATACTGCACACAGTCCTTGGTGGCCTGTCTTACGAAGGCAGTGGTGCTTCCTTTCCTGTCCAGAAACATTCTTAGCCAATAGCAAATAGAGGCAGCCCTGTCCCTGCCTTGTGGGTCTCAGTCTCCTGCTCATGAGCTCCTGGGCCAGCACCCCTGTCTTCAGACGGGGCTCATCTGGAAGGGCTTGCGAGAAGGGATGGTATTGGAATGGAGCCTTGAAGGACAGCAAGCGTGTTGTGCAGAGCTTGTTGGGAGGAGGCCCACTGGGCTGGCCTCCCTGGCCCCCACCAGGTTCAGGTCAGCCCTGACCTGGGCTCTGGGCTGGCAGATAACAGCTGTGGACTGGCACTTTGAGGAGGCTGTGGACGGCGAGTGCCCACCGCAGCGAAGCATCTTGGAGCAGCTGGCCGAGAATCACTTTGAGCTGGTGATCAACCTGTCCATGCGCGGGGCCGGAGGCCGGCGTCTCTCCTCCTTCGTCACCAAGGGCTACCGCACCCGGCGCCTGGCCGCCGACTTCTCTGTGCCCCTCATCATCGACATCAAGTGCACCAAACTGTTTGTGGAGGTGACGCGTGCTGGGGCGGAGGCAGCCACTTTGGGGGTGGGAGGGGGTGTCGTGAGCACGTCACGATGGGGGAGAGCATCAGTATGAAACGGCTGTGGCCGCAGGGGAGAGAAGGTGGGGCAGAAGCCCTTCCTGCGTCTCCCGGGATCCCCTTACAGCTGACCTGCTTTCCGCTTGCAGGCCCTGGGCCAGATCGGGCCAGCTCCTCCTATGAAGGTGCATGTTGACTGTATGACCTCCCAAAAGCTTGTGCGACTGCCTGGTAAGTGCATCTTTCTGGGAGAACTTGGCTTCTGGACTCTGGCAGCATCTGGCATGGAGACCCTTGTAAAAGATGGCAAAGGGGTCTCTCTGCCCTGGGCTGCATGGACTGCGACGGCCTCAGACTCCTCCCTCCTCGCCCTGAGCCTTCGTTCCTCCGTCCACGGTGCCTTCCCTCAGGAGCTTCCTGCAGATGCGTGCTCTGGCGTGTATCAGTGGCTGCCATTGTCCTTGCCCCCCCAGCTCTCCATGACCCCGTCCTTCCTGCTGCAGACTCCCCTCTGGTCTTGACGCCCTCCTGTTCTCCCAGGACTGATCGATGTCCACGTGCACCTGCGGGAACCAGGCGGGACTCACAAGGAGGGCCGGAGTGGAGAGAAGGTGGGTCAGAAGCCCTTCCTGCGTCTCCCGGGATCCCCTTACAGCTGACCTGCTTTCCGCTTGCAGGCCCTGGGCCAGATCGGGCCAGCTCCTCCTATGAAGGTGCATGTTGACTGTATGACCTCCCAAAAGCTTGTGCGACTGCCTGGTAAGTGCATCTTTCTGGGAGAACTTGGCTTCTGGACTCTGGCAGCATCTGGCATGGAGACCCTTGTAAAAGATGGCAAAGGGGTCTCTCTGCCCTGGGCTGCATGGACTGCGACGGCCTCAGACTCCTCCCTCCTCGCCCTGAGCCTTCGTTCCTCCGTCCACGGTGCCTTCCCTCAGGAGCTTCCTGCAGATGCGTGCTCTGGCGTGTATCAGTGGCTGCCATTGTCCTTGCCCCCCCAGCTCTCCATGACCCCGTCCTTCCTGCTGCAGACTCCCCTCTGGTCTTGACGCCCTCCTGTTCTCCCAGGACTGATCGATGTCCACGTGCACCTGCGGGAACCAGGCGGGACTCACAAGGAGGACTTCGCCTCGGGCACAGCCGCTGCCCTGGCTGGGGGCGTCACCATGGTGTGTGCCATGCCTAATACCCGGCCCCCCATTGTCGATGGCCCGGCCCTGGCCCTGGCCCAGAAGGTGAGCCACTCCACTCTGTCCTGGCATCGGAGACCATGTGCCACAGCCACCTTTGCCTCCCTGAACCCTTTTCCCTCTGCCCCTGCCCATGGGCCCAGGCTGCCGGTGCCGGGCTAGTCTGTGTGGGCGTGGATGCCGATGAGCCTCGTTCTGTGTGTGTCCTCTCCAGCTGGCAGAAGCAGGTGCCCGCTGTGACTTTGCCCTGTTTCTTGGGGCCTCCTCTGAAAATGCTGGGACCCTGAGTGCTGTGGCCGGGTCTGCGGCAGGGCTGAAGCTCTACCTCAATGACACCTTCTCTGAGCTGCGGCTGGACAGTGTGGCCCAGTGGATGGAGGTAGGGAGTGCACGTGTGGCTAGAAGCCACCAGCCCGATCAGACAGCTTGCGGCAGCAGTGAGGATTTGAGGGAGCCCCGAGAGCCCTGGCTCTGACGAGATGGAGAACCGGGCTCCGCACGCCCCCTCACAGCTCTTTCTGCCCCCAGCACTTCGAGACTTGGCCGTCCCACCTGCCCATTGTGGCCCATGCAGAGCGACAGAGTGTGGCCGCGGTCCTCATGGTAGCTCAGCTGACCCAGCGCTCGGTGCACATATGTCACGTGGCACGGAAGGAGGAGGTGAGTGCCCCAGAGGTCCTGGTGCCCAGTGACAGCAAAGGTCAGGGTAGTCCTCGGGGGCGGGAGAGACTGAGAAGAGAGGCTCGAGCCGGCACTCTTAGCACGTCTGCTCCTTGACTCTCCGAGAAAGTAGGCTGGCCCTGGGGCCTCTGGAGGGCAGGGCATTTAGGGGGCGTCCATTTGATCTCCCCATTCTCCCCCAGATCCTGCTGATTAAAGCAGCAAAGGCACAGGGGCTGCCAGTGACCTGTGAGGTGGCGCCCCACCACCTGTTCCTGAGCCGTGAGGATCTGGAGCGCCTGGGGCCTGGGAAGGGGGAGGTCCGGCCTGAGCTGGGCTCCCGCCAGGACGTGGAGGCCTTGTGGGAGAACATGGCTGTCATCGACTGCTTTGCCTCTGACCACGGTGAGAGGACCCGGTTCCTAGCTCTGCCCGGTAGGGCTTGTTCCCAGCCAGGACGTGGCTCCACGAGGACAGGGTCCTGTGCTGTGTGGGCCCCCCGCCTCTAACCTAATAAGTGCCCGTTGAAAGAGTGGGTGAGCGTGAGCAGAAGCTGGCAGGTATACAGGAGAGCATCTGGGCGAAGGTGTGGCCCCAGGAGATGGTGGCCGTCCCCCTTCTCATTTCCACTTGCCAGGGAACGTGAGCATGGGGGTGGCAGTGAGTACATCGAGGTTGCTGGAAGGGCAGGCATGGGGCTTGTGTGACCTCCCAGATGTGGAGGTGTTGGCCGTCTTTCTCCCAGCCCCCCATACCTTGGAGGAGAAGTGTGGGCCCCAGCCTCCGCCAGGCTTCCCAGGGCTGGAGACCATGCTGCCACTGCTGCTGACGGCGGTGAGCGAGGGCCGGCTCAGCCTGGACGACCTGCTGCAGCGCCTGCACCACAATCCTCGGCGCATCTTTCACCTGCCCCTGCAGGAGGACACCTACGTGGAGGTGCGGGGGCCAGGGCAGAGCGCAGGGCTCTCCAGCCCTGGGGTTCCCAGCGTGGCCTTCCCTGGCCTAACCGTGTCCCTCCGGGCAGGTGGATCTGGAGCACGAGTGGACCGTCCCCAGTCACATGCCCTTCTCCAAGGCCCACTGGACACCCTTCGAAGGGCAGAAGGTGAAGGGCACCGTCCGCCGGGTCGTCCTGCGAGGGGAGGTGGCCTATATCGACGGGCAGGTACGTGTGTGGTTCTGCCTGATCTCGGGGGTGACTTCTGTGCGTTTCCGGTGTCTTTCCTGCCTGGTTCAATACGCAGGCCTGCACCTGCCTCCAGCTGCCCATAGCTGGGCCAGGGTGGACACGGCTCCCTCGGGCACCTTGCCTTCTTGCTGCCCTCCAGTCCTTTAGGAGCACAGCGTGGGCTCCCTGTCACTCCTCACCCCCTGCCTCTGTCTGCAGGTTCTGGTGCCCCCAGGCTATGGACAGGATGTACGGAAGTGGCCTCAGGGGGCCGTTCCCCAGCTGCCACCCTCCACCCCCGCTGCCGGCGAGGTGACCACGGTATCCACACGGCTTCTGGGCTAAGCTGGCAGGGAAGGTCTGGGGGTCCGCCCAGGGGCAGGACTGACAACTCACACGTTTTGAGTAATGGCTCGGGGGGCAAGAGCACTGGGCTTGACAGTTAAAACCTCCACCGCCTGTCTCTGTGTCCTGCAAAACGCTGAGCGTTGGGAAGGCTGTCGTGGCACATACAGCCACGTCAGTCCACCCCAAGTCCTGCTGGCGGCTGTCACTGGGCACGTGCACCCCTCGAGGGGCCACCATCCTGTCCGCCACATGCTAGAGGAGTGGCACTGTGGGGGGTGTGGACAGTGGGGTCCTATAGAAGGCAGCGGCATGGCCTTTGTTGAGGGATTGAATTTGAGGTGGGCTTGAGTTGGTTATATTTGAAAACACTGACCCGCATTACCACCCTAGACGCCCGAAAGACCCCGCCGGGGCATCCCGGGGCTTCCTGATGGCCGCTTCCACTTGCCACCCCGCATCCACCGAGCCTCTGACCCGGGTCTGCCAGGTAAGAGGTTTCTGTGGCTTAGAAGCACGTAGGGCCAGGGTTCTTTCCCACCTGAGGGGTATCCCGAGGGGCCAGTGTGGGGGCTCAGTTGCCCAGGACCTGTCCCGTCCCCTCCAAGCACCTCTCCTCTCTCCATCACTGTCCTCCTCTCTATCCCTTCACGCCAGCCTGATCCTCTATGTCCCCCTCGGTCTAATGAAGTCACCCCAGCCCAAGGCAGTCGCCCGCAGCGTCTTCTCATGGCCCTTTTCTGTTGTGGGCAGCTATGTTCCTCCGCCCGGGAGCTGGGATCCCACGGGGCAGCAGAGCATGGGGTAAATCCAGGTTGCTGGTTGGTGTGAGCCTGGCTGTTCCTCTTGCCTAGGATCCCTTTGCCAACAGGGAAGGGCCCGGGAGGGCATCTCCACTCCCTCACCACGTGGCCCCGTGGAGAATCACGGGTCTGTGCCCAGAGCCGCTGCAACCCTTCCTGCCCTCCCCTAACCTGCTCTAGCCACTGTGGTGTGAATTGGTTTAACACGGCACTGCGTGACCCAGAGGTTGTGGGACGCCGAGGGCTACGCCCAAACCTCAGCCGCAAACTTACCCTGTCCCCCTACCCCGTTTACAGCCGAGGAGCCAAAGGAAAAGTCGTCCCGGAAGGCGGCCGAGCCAGGTGAGAGACTGCCCTGACGCCCACTCACCTCGGGGACCTCTGATTCCCCTGGGTAGGGGAGCCCTCTGACAGCCTCTTCTGCCCCGTCCCTCACTGCAGAGCTGATGGGAACCCCTGACGGCACCTGCCACCCTCCACCACCAGTACCTAGACAGGCGTCACCCCAGAACCTGGGGGCCCCTGGCTTGCTGCACCCCCAGACCTCACCCCTGCTGCACTCACTGGTGGGCCAACATATCCTGTCCGTCCAGCAGTTCACCAAGGACCAGGTGCCTGGGGGAGGGCGGACGTGCGGACCCCTGGCGGCTGCTCGCTGCCTTTCCGCTGACTCGGGGCCTCTCGTAGATGTCTCATCTGTTCAACGTGGCACACACGCTGCGGATGATGGTGCAGAAGGAGCGGAGCCTCGACATCCTCAAGGTTGGGGTCAGGGCGGGACTGTGCAGGGACCCGCGGTCTTCTCCACCTCAGGCCCCTCACGTGTATGAAAACCCTCTACTGCAGTAGCTCAGCCTCTCTACGCTGAAGGCCCAGGTCCTCCCCCAAATTTCCCCTCCCCAAGGCATCTTTAGCACGTCTGGAGCCCCCGAGCTCCAGGGCGCCCACCCACTCAGCTCATCGGCCTGCAGATGTGGACGTGGAGGGCTGGACTTCCTTCTCTCCTGGGTCTTCCGGACACTTAACAATGGCTTTTAGCTCAGAGAGACACTAAGGATGGGGATGCCAAGGCTCAGGAGGTCACAGGAGGTCTGCATGACACGTTCTCTGAGCGTGCCTGCCCCCCCCCCCCCCCCGGTACGTTGGGGGGGGGGGCTTGGCCTGGGTGCCCCCCCCCCGGGGGAGGGTTTTCCCCCCCCCCCCCCCCCCGCCGTGTACGTTGGGAAGGGGGCCTTGACCTGTGTGCCCTCTCCCAGGGGAAGGTCATGGCCTCCATGTTCTACGAGGTGAGCACACGCACCAGCAGCTCCTTTGCAGCAGCCATGGCCCGGCTTGGGGGCGCAGTGCTCAGCTTCTCGGAGGCCACGTCCTCCGTCCAGAAGGGCGAGTCCCTGGCTGACTCCGTGCAGACCATGAGCTGCTATGCTGACGTCGTGGTGCTGCGGCACCCCCAGCCCGGAGCGGTGGAGGTGAGGCTGCCCGTGTCCTCAGGTGGGGTTGATAAGGCTGGACCCAGGGACTCGTGGTTCCTCTGCCCACCTTTTCTGTGACGGCAAGTCTCAGGTTGGGCCAGATGCACGAGGACACCAGGAGAGTGGACCGGGGCTGGGAGGGGCCTCTGAGCTGCAGAAGTCGGCATCCTCCATCCTCATTCTGGTTTCCACAGCTTGCAGCCAAACACTGCCGGAGACCGGTGATCAATGCCGGGGACGGGGTTGGAGAACACCCCACCCAGGCCCTGCTGGACATCTTCACCATCCGGGAGGAGCTGGGGACCGTCAATGGCATGACTGTGAGTGGTGGCAAGGGCTCGGCCCCACAGGGGAGCATCCAAGGAGGGAGGCAGGAAGCAGTTTCTCCTGTCTGGGACATGCTGAGGCCCAGATCCTGGTCCAGGAGCTGAGAGCTTTGCAGTGGCGGGAGGGGTGCTCAGTACGGGCCCCGCTGGTGGCCGGTTCTCCCCAGATCACAATGGTGGGCGACCTGAAGCATGGCCGCACAGTGCACTCCCTGGCCTGCCTCCTCACCCAGTACCGCGTCAGCCTGCGTTACGTGGCACCTCCCAGCCTGCGCATGCCTCCGGACGTGCGGGCCTTTGTGGCCTCCCGTGGCACCAAACAGGTGAGACCTTCAGCCCAGCCCAGGGGCCCTGGGGACACGAGTGGCGCAGTCGGAGCCCACACTGCACTCACCACGGCTCTGCCTCCCCTCCAGGAGGAGTTCGAAAGCATCGAGGCGGCGCTGCCTGACACAGACGTGCTGTACATGACCCGGATCCAAAAGGAGCGGTTCGGCTCCCCCCAGGAGTACGAGGCTGTGAGTGCCAGGCTCGAAGGGGAAGTCGGGTGGGTGTAGGCATCCGGAGAGGGCACGAAGGCGGCGGGGACCGCGATGGGGCCCAGACTCGTGTTCCCGTAGCACCCCCGCCTGGTACACTGACGGGACCCGTCTACCTCGCAGTGCTTCGGTCAGTTTATCCTCACTCCTCACATCATGACCCGGGCCAAGAAGAAGATGGTGGTGATGCACCCCCTGCCCCGTGTCAACGAGATCAGGTGATGTGTCCCAGGACTGGCTTCAGGAAGGGGGCCTGGCCAGCCATCTGCCAGCTGCTCAGTAACGCTCTCCTTCTCTTGCAGTGTGGAGGTGGACTCGGACCCCCGAGCAGCCTACTTCCGCCAGGCTGAGAACGGCATGTACATCCGTATGGCCCTGCTCGCCACCGTGCTGGGCCGCTTCTAGGGCCTGGCTCCCTTGGCCTCATCTTTGCAGGCCCAGCTCTCGGGCAAGGAATCTCAGTGCCCCCCACGGGGGCAGCACCCTTAGGAACATAGACACTTTGGGGCGTCCAGACGGCTCATGTGCACACACGCACACACGTGCACACACTTCAGGCTCCGGACTGGAGCTCTCTGTCAGGAGGGCGGGGCCTCAGGTGCTGGGGCTCCGTCTGCCCCGTTTCTATCTCACACCTCAAGTCTGTACAGTTACTTTTCTACTGACTCAATAAACAACTAAGCTGCCTCTAGTTCCTGCATCCTCGTGGGTACATTGGCCTTAGCAAGGAGCCCGAATGTGGCAGGACAGAGCTTTTCCTTTAGAACAAGGGCCCGGATTCCCAGTTTCAAGAGCAGCCTCACCAGCCAGCACTCTTATTCTGTCCAGGGCTGAGCATTCGGCTGGGCTTGTTCAGTCCTGGCTTTGGAGGGCTCCAGGCAGGAACACGCTGGCCTAGCCGGCTGGTGCTCTGGGTCCTGTGTTACATTGACTTCATTGCTCACCTGGGGACTCTGGCTCATGACCAGCCCTCCCTCCACTCAGCTGCACCCACAGTCCTGACAGCCAGCTTTGCCTTCTTCCCAAATACCCTGAGAACATGTGAGCCATGGAGAGGAAAGCTGAGGCTGGAAAGGGTCACTATCCTCCAGGCCCTTGTACTTCTCTCTGGTTAGCCCTCCCCAGTGGCCAAGGCTGCCATTGTGTTCTCAAAACCTTGCCAAGGGCCAGTCAGTGGCATGGTGGTTAAGGCACATGGCTAACTGCATGGTTTTAAGTCCTGGCTCCAGTGACGAAAAACATGCCAGACACGTGTGTGCATGCCTAAGAATCCCAAGAAAGATGGAGGAGAAGGGATTGCAGGGTGGCCATGCTCCCTGGGGGATGATTCCTCACCTTCCCTCTCTGTCGCTCCATTGAGTGCATGCACCCTGTGGCATATTGTAAAGCCTCACCCACAATTCTCCAGCTACCGTCACAAGAAGCCCCTCCTTCCTCCTGACACAACGGG